CACACACACACACACATACATACCCCCCTCCCATCTTCCGCCCGTTCTCTCTGTCTCTGTCTCTGTCTCTCCATCTCCCTTCTTCCTCCATCCCCTACAGTAGCCCTGTACAAGTCTTGCATTACTGCACGAATCATTCACCTGACGCACACATACAGACAGCCATAATGTGTCGACTATTCATGCCCCAGGCGGCCACAAACACACTCTGCAGCATGAGCTTTAGCTTCTCAGGGAAGGCGTGAAGCGAAAATCTGGGTGGCCCAGACTAAATCATGTGATTCAAATTGACAGTATGCACTGGGTATTCGTTTTGGTAAAGGTTTGGCGGCACTTGCAACACAAAATAAGTTTATAAGTGCCGAAGAGTAAAAAAATTACTAGAAATAAGAAAGACAAGAACCAGGAGAGATAAGGACGGTATTTGATCAGAAAAAAGGAGCCAACTACACCAGAGAACCTGCCAACCACCCACTCAATTGGTTTATCAATAGTTGTAATTTAATCTGAAACAGGTGAAAAGCTATTATCCCCAATAGTAGCATTATCATGCTGTCCAAAAGTCACGTTGAGCTCACGAGTAGATCTACCTCTTGTGGTATCAAGTTGGACAACTAAGCGGATAGCCCTGATTTGAATACAAAATGGAGAGCTCTGAACTTGGATTGTTTTGGGAAGTTTTTTAGGGTTCTCCGACCTTTTGACTCGGTTCTGTCGAAGACGGTCTTTAAATTCGGAGGTCCTGTTTCTGAAATAACCTTACAGTGTTAAAAGAGGGGTGTTAAACCTATGAAGACGATGGTCACAGTCAAGTTCTCCTGTCCATAAGTGAGTTGTTGGCGGGTATTCTTGTGTGGTCTGCTCACTTCCTTAATTTCTCTACTTTTTTCTTCCGCTTTTACCGGTGGGTGTCGCGGGGAGACAGGCGTCTGTCGGCAGCAAGGCGAGTGGTCTGTAGGAGGGACATCCCGTGAGCTCTGAGGGTGTCTGCTACAGATTCGCTCAAGCGTCGCCTTGGTCTCCCTTTCCTATCTAACATAATCTGTCGTCTTTATCTCTCATCTTTGTTCGGAATATTTGTTACACTCTTGAAACACCTCTAAGCTTTGACACTTATGTGACCCAACTGTGTTGTAAGTGCCACGAAACTCTTACTAAAACTAAAACCCAATGTTGTTGCAGTTGCTGTTGCTGTTTTTGTTGCTCCATTGTTACATATATATATATA